ATGATTACTGAAATTAAACATAAATCTAGTTTGTTGTGATTGAGAAAATGAAACTATATTCCTAGTAATGTCAGGTACGTATAGACAATTGGTAAGTGTTAAAGTAAGACCATTTGGAAGCTTCATATCATATGTCTCTTGAGCAACAATAGTTACCTTAGCTCCATTTGGTCTGGTTTCGTCTTTTCTTCACTTCTTAGACCTTGTAGAGTAGTAAAAATATAATCATTCATTCTTGCTTAATTTGAAAGGAACGATTGCTCATTCTCATTCTCATATATATATATATATATATATATGTATGTATGTATATATATTCCTAATAATTATAAAATAGAATAGATGATGATGATGATAATAATAATAAGCCAAAATGAAAAGTTGATAATTACTTATAATAAAATCAATCAATTATTAGTTGTTTGAAAACAAAAGGAAACAAGAATAAATTAAGGATGTGAAGAAGGAATTGAATGAATGGATGGAGAAATTTGAATTATTAAAGTTGATTTGACTCTTTATCTAACCATTTCCATTTATTCTACCTTCATTTCTTTTTCTTTCACACAAAATCAAAATGAAACATATATCAATATGAAAAGGAAAGAAAGAGACAAAGATGGGTCACGTCATCGGTGAGTGTGTCATTTAGTCATTGGCTGTGCATCCAAAAGGGACCATGGGTGCATTTGCAACTTCAATTACGTTAGATGTTGTTATGTTTTTGTACAATCTTATCTTTTTTTAAATCTATGTCTTCTCATAATCTAAATCCAATTTTGTTGTAGTTTTTCTGTAAGTTCCAACCTAAATAGATTGAATATCTTCTATAAGAAATCGCAAGAAGGCTTGACAAATTTTTCCACGAAATCTCGAACGAAATATACACACTATTCTGTCTTTCCTTTCAAACTAATCGATCATAACCATAACTTACATCCCATAAAATTGATCCACAATCACATAGAAAGACATCATAATTCCTTATAATTTTTTTTTTCAGAAAAATTAATATAACAAATTTCTAAAAAAAAACAAGACAAACAAACCATTCATTTAATTAAAATTTGTCATTATGCATCAATAAGTCAAAACCTCACATGTTCTTAAGTTGGGGTCCCTTGTACACAAGAATAATACAAACACAATTCTTGGGAAATTCCATTGACTATTGACAATACCTTTACAAAAAAGTCCCCCAAACACATACACACATATATAGTTATAGATTAATTTGGGAAGTGATAAATATAAGGTAAAGAAGTGATCATATCCCTTCATCTGAAGATTTGTGACTTTGACTGATCAAAATTTGCAGCATGGTAACAACTATGCAAAAAATAGAAAGATATTTTTGTAACTTTTACAAATAGACGGCAAACAAGTGCATATGTGAATTAGTTATTTAGTTCATATGTCAATCACACGGGTTTATATGTGAATCAGTTAAATAGTTCATATGTGAATCACACGGGTTCATATATACACTTGTTTTTCACCTATTTGTAAAAGTTATGGAACTATCCCTGTATTTTTAGCATACCATGTGACTGAACTATCTGGTACTTCACAATCAAAGCCGCAAATGTTGACCAGATAAAAAGTTAGAATCATTTCTCTACTTCTCATACATTTAGCACTTCTCAAATGAAGCTCTCCGTACACACACAGGGCCTTCTTTTAAAAATCCATTAAATTGTGATAACCTTGAGAACTTGTGCATCATGTGGTATTTCATATGATTTTTTTTTAATTTCAGACTAGTATTTAGAATATTGATTAATATATATATTTGTTTCACATTTACTCGGTTCACAATATGAAATTTTTTGACGTGTTTGTGAAACAACAAATACATGTAAAAAAGTTTCACATTGTGAATCAAATGTATATGAAACAAACACATTGTGAAACAAATATAAAAACAATGTGTATAAGAAAACACAGGGGTAAGTGCATTAAGCAAATGCAAGTGGTTATTGGTAGGTTATATCGCACACCTTTAGACAAATGAAATGGACCACAAAGCAAGTATACAAGATGACCCAATATCGTCTTTCCAAGTAATAAAGTGGTAAAATACTGGATTATCGTCTACGGAGATTGTAGCAAAAGTTTAATGAGAGTACAATGAAAAAGATGAATTTGAAGATTTCAATTTGATATTCAGGTGATTTAATACAAATAACAGAATAAATAAAGATAGCAAGGGTGTAAGACTTGTGGTGAGACTCAAACACAAATTCCAGTAGCCAATGCTATATGAATGCTATAGCAAGCAGTGCTTCATAACTTAGTTCCACCATCTATTTTGAAGGTATTCCTCTCGGACTTCACCATTGCACTATATTATAGCTTTCAACCCATATCCCTATGTGGTATCCAGACCAGGGATAGTGACAAAATGGTGTCTTCAAAATATATGGATAAACAAGTCTCTTTGTTAAAAATAACTCTCTCGAGTCGATTCCCATATCATTCAAGTTGGCGTGTGTTTTAGATAGTTCATCTCTGAATCTATCGCACTTAGACACTTTTAAAGAGTGACCAACCCGTCGGGAGTTAAGTTTGAAAGACATAAATGACAAGTCTCCTTGTCGACAACTTTCTCAAGTGTACCTCTTATATCATTCAAGCTGACGTGCGTTCAATGACTTATATATAAGTTCATCGCACTTTAACACTTTCAAAGTGATCAACCCGTCAAGAAGTGTACTTGGTTTTTATAAAAACTCGAATGAAACAATGGAACATCGTTTATGAAAACACTTAGCTACTTTCTTTTGGTTTGGAAATCTCACCTTTTCGTCTCACACCGAAGCTATGAATTTAGCTACTCATAACAAAATGTAAATGACAAGTAAAGTAAATGACGGAAAGTAAAGACATAAATGTAAATTATGGAAAATAAATGACGAGAATGTAAGTTGCGGAATGTAAATGACTAGAAATGTAAAGGAGCGTAATGTAAAGAACAAAAATTAAAAGACAAGAAATTAAAGATGAAAAGTTAAACAAGACTTTGATTTCTTCAAGATGTTTTTACAAATCAGCTTTGGAGAGCTTATTCTTAATCTTGGATGATGAACTAATGAAGCCTAACACCTCCTTTTATACACAAAGATGCCATACAAGACAAAGGTAATACCTAGAGGTTATTGTCCAAAGGGTACAAAACAAAATAACCCAAAGTACATGTCTAAATACAATAAACCCAACAAATGTTTTAATCACAGATTTTTAAACAAAAGTCAGCAACTCCAACTGTCTTCCACTAAGCACAAAAAGGCAGCAACTTAATCAATAAGATATTCAAAAAGTTGCGCTTGTATCAGATCACTGCTGCTCCAATGCTGTAGCACCAAACTGTTAAACAAAGAATTCCATTAGCTTCCTCCTTTGAGTACAAACAAGTTAACCACATGATTTAGCTCCATAATAACAAAGATACAAATAAAGTAATAAAAATGACTTAAAATAGGGATAAAAGGAAAATAATCTAACTAAAAATAAGTAAAACGAATGCTTTATATATTGAATTCTCAACATATATCAGTTATACTCCTTATTTGATTATGCAAGACCATTATGCACAAAACAAGTTTGGCTTTATGCAAGAAGAACCAAAGATTGAGAAAGCAAAATTATCAGTAGGAAAGGAATATCCAAATATCACCATTTTGGCTCTCAATCATGTGAAATAAAATAGTAGGAACAAAGAAGGATGTGGTTGGGTAGAAAATCAACAAATTTAAAGAACAAACAAACCTGATTACTAATATTACAAATGAAGATCTCAATCCTAAAATAAAGACCTCCATATATATACATGATCAAATCGTTGAGTCTTTCCTCAAAATCTGATTCATTCCCAAGGGCAAAAAAAAATATCAAAATTATCAACATGAAGTATTCATTATTTACTTTTGGAAACAACAGGAAGAGAAGAGAATCATAAATCAAAATTATCAACAAGAAGAACCAAATGAATACCTCAAAGAAGCTGTGGAGAAATCAAAACCTCCAAAGTCTGGTTATATGCAGCGATTAAGACTTCTTGGGAATCACCCATTTGTGCAAGGTTTGCAGCCATTGAAGAAATTGTATATTGACTTTACTATTTTGATTTTGGCGTAGGAAATTTCATGAAGAAGAAGCTGGAAAAAGAAGAAAGTAGAGAAAACTTTTTGAACTTACCAAAATGGTTTGGCGGGAAAGGGATTGGAGCAGGAAAATTCATGAAGAAGAAGGTAGAAAAGAAGAAAACAAAAAAAAAAAATATTTTTGACGTTATCCCAAAAAGAAGGTCTAACCATTTGTTGTCTTTGTCTCTTAAAATCAATGCATTAAAAACTTGTACCATATGCTTGATTAGTTGTAATTAAGAGTTTTTTGAAAATCTTGTATAAAACCATTGTAACTTGTGCTTAAAAAATTGTATTTAAGGCTTTAGGCCTGTTTGTTTTTTAAAATTTGCCTCTTAATTTCCTCTTATGTCTGAATCGGTCAGACATATAGACTTTCAGATCGTTTGTTTTTTCCCCCAAATTAAGAGCTGAATTCATAAGGTTTCCTCTGAATTTTTAAGTGATAACCCTAGCTCTTAATACCTCTTATTTGTTTATCCGCCTCCTTACGTCGCTCTCATCCGCCTCCTTTACGTCGCTCTCATCCGCTCTCGTCCCATTCATCGATTGAAGCTGGTGTTCTTCATACATCGCAGATTCAAGCTGGTGTTCTGGTAATCTTCTCGATCTCTCTTTGGTTTCAGATTTCAGATTTCAGACTTCAGCACCACCTCTTAAAATTCAGAAGTGAATTCAGACTTCAGACTTCAGCACCTCTTAAAAAACAAACGCCACCTTTGTCTTAAATGGTTATATAGTATAGATATGCCATGTGTTTAATTAATTATTTGAATAAGATGGATCATAAAAACAATTATATATATATATATATATATATATATATATATATATATATATGCGAGCTAGCTAGTATAAAATCAATCAATATTTCCCGTTACACAAATGACTTCACACGAAAACAACCCATGTCACATGGGGCTAGCCACAAATCTATGTATGGACGATTTAGTGATGAAGAGGACTAGGGTTGCATGTAGCATATGACAAAACAGCAGGATCACGTTCGAATATCTCCATTTCCCTCGAGCTCAACGTCACTGTGGCTTCAACACCTCCACCCTTGATCGTATCAGTCAAAGCCAGAAGCCTGTAGCCCGCATTCATTTCATAGAACCATATAGGCTTTCCCCATCCAAAATCGATCTCATAGATTCCGCTGTTCAAGAGGCTGGTAGCAATAAGGCAGTCTCCTTGATGCATCCCATCCGTCATATCCTTTAGCATCTTCAATGTGCCATTCACTACCTCCTGCCCCTTTTCACCCCTCAACGACTCTATGTACTCCGAGTTTATTTTGGCTATTGATTTTCTTATTTCACCCATCAGGGTCGCTAACTCAGGTTGGCTCTCAGGAAAGCAAATCCCAACAGCTCCGTAAATAATGTTTCCAACACACTCCTCGGGTAAAGGAGGTGAAGCCCTTCCCCGGAGATTCACCATCGACAACAAAGCATGAGGTGACTGTGGACTGAAGGGTCTGATGGTGGATGCTGCTTTGGCGGCAGCCTTCCAAATGAGGGCTGTGGTGGCCTCCATGCGAGTTGGGCCACGCGATACGGATGAGCTGGTGCAGGAGACCGGTTGGGCCTTGAGGAGAGCCAAAGCCGTAGAATCGAACACGAATCTTTTTGTAGAAAGCGATTCGGTGGCCATTAACTTGGAAGGCAATGAATACTTTAATGAAGGGTTGTTAGGGAAGAGATTAGAAGCCACAAAAGTGGGTGAAAATGATTCTGGTGAACCTCTTACAGCAGCGGCCCAGGCTTTCATAAACATGAAATACGTATGGCCGTCAAAGATCTTGTGTGCCAAGCTCGTGCAAAGACCAATCCCACCACAATTGAAAATGTTGAGCTAACATACACAAACAAAACATAAGTGCTTGTATATATTGATAAATTACCTAGATATATAACATGATACTCACCTGAACACCAGCAAGATAATTTCCTTTTGAAGATTGCAAGGTGCCAAAATTGTGGGGAATCAAGCCTCTCACTTTTTGCTCATCTGGACGACCTAGAAAATCTTCTAGAGTCTGGTTGAGTCGAGCCACCACGAAATACACGCCTTTGTCAATACACTCGATATGCAAGTCATCCTTAACTTCTCCAGCAACAGGATAGAATCGAGTTAGAATCCGAGACAAAGTCTCCTTGAGATGTCTTGATCTTTTGGTTACAACATGGGTAATAGTAGCCTTATTGTTATTAGGAAGAAATAAGACTAGAGGAATGTAGCAATCAAACATGACTTGATCAATTATTGATAGGTTGAAGGTCCTTAGATGAGGAGGAGTTGGAAAAGCTGGTTTGATTGTTTCTCTAGAAATTATTTCAAGATCCACCTTCTTAGTATTAGTGTGTTCATGCTTGTTACCATTTATGGACCTGCAAATAATTGTAATATATATGCATGAGCATGAGATAGAAGTTTGAATCGAGTTCATGTATGTGCATAGAACAATAAGATTGCCAACCTGTATGAGGAAGTAGTATATTGGTGAGCAGAGAAGCAGGATGGGGAATGCATTTGCATGGAGTGCAGAGAACCCAAATCTGATGCAACATGAAGATGAGATTGTTGAGAAATGAGGAAACATCGGGTTGCTTTATGGGCTGATAAGAACCACCTCATTGTCGAATGATGATAGACGAGAGTAGAGAGAAGTTGGGAGAGAAGAGTAGAAATGTGTGTGTGTTGAAAAGAAAAGGGGAAGAGGCTATATAAACTAAACAGACTAACTATTTACAACTAACAAACACAAAATAATAACTAATGATCTATCTATCAGCTTCACACCCAACTCTTGTTTTATAAAGAATTCATCTCATGGTGGATTTATTATTATCAGTGGATAAAACTTTCAAGTCTTTCAAATGTTTATGTCATTCATCACATCACAATGATTGATACACAATTTTCTCAACAGATTAACATGCCTACATCTGTGTCGAGACTACACTTCAAACGACTTCATGAGTTCTATATCGTTAACCGTCAACGTTCCCGAGTCATCAACATCAAGACTCTTAAACCCTTCAACCACAATAGCAATATCTTCATCACTCACCTTTCCCATCTCTCTCAGCTTATACACAATATATTCTGCAACACTGCATTAACAATCAAATGCTTTCATTAGTCAGCATCAAAAGCCGAAACTCAACACCAAGAATTTCTGTATTAATTAAGAGTACCTCACAACTTTGTCATTGTCAAGATCAGCTTTCTCAAGATCTTGGATTGTCAGTTTCCTGTTAACTACCCAATGTACAAGCACTTGCCGTCTGTTTTCGGTCCATAGTTCAACCAAGTAAACAAATAGTTGTGCTAAAGAGACGGTAGTAATCAAGATCCAGAAAATGGCAAACAAACGCCCTCCTTCACTCGAAAAACTCTTATCGCCATACCCCAGAGTAGTGATCGTAGCACAAACACAATAAAAAGCTTCAAAGTAACTCAATTTTTCAACAAGAGACAACACTAAAGTTCCGATAGTCATGAGGAAGAGAATAAGTGTCAGGATTGTAAGAAACTTGTACTTGACTTTATTTGTTTTGGTTTCTTTGAGGATCTCATTCAGGCCATATGTTTCATGCATGTGTATCGCTTTTACAAACAAGATTTCCTGCTTTCCGACAATGTAATCTGCTGCTTTGCTAAGAGCAAAGCCACCAAGAGCCATGCCTGTAAACACAAAAACACAAGCTAAAGACTTTGCCAAATTGGTTTCTGGTCCTACATCGCCATATCCTGCAGCCGTCATTGTGATGACACAGAAATAGACGGCATCCAGGATTTTGTTGGTTTTCTTGCCACTGATCTGATCCTGGATGAGTGAAAAACAGATGGTGCCTAGGGTTAGGTACACAGCCAAGATAATTGATACTTGCTTCAAACTAAGCTGGTCTGCACAGATTGATGGTGGGTAAATAAGAGGTTGATCTTCATGTTCTTTTCCTCTTTTAAGTAGTGCGTCCTTCACACCATGATCAGCCATTGTGTGATCAAACCAATTAAGACTTTGTGGTTTTGGGATGATTAAGATCTTCTAAAATCGGTGTTTTCCTTCAACACACCTTAGAACAAGGAAAAAGATGGATAAAAGCAAAGCCTTTATAGCTGAGGAAGGTGATTCATGGCCTTGAAGTTATATATGTGGACCAGGGTTGCTTGATTCTCCATTCGGAAGGAGATAAAGATCCATGAATTTGCAAACATTAGCTTGCTAATGCCATTATATGACAAAGAATAGTACATATGACTGAGAACAAAATATGGAATATATACACGGTTACAATTTATTCAAGGTTATTTTTGACTTTTAACTAATACTCGGATGACTTCTTAAACCTACATGTACACCAGTTCTTCAAATTTTAAAGGGGTAATCAATAAAGATTTGTCTCAAGAACAATTAATGTTACAGGTCTTACAAATATGGAAGAAATGCAGGTATTAGTAGAATGATTGAAATGATACCGAGAGTAACATATGGATCATTAGTCAAACTTGTGTTGAATATAAATAAAATGATCATTATTGGAAAGAAGAATTGTAACTTGTGTTAGAACTTGGCAATGAAGGATGTTTGATGCAAAGAATAGATTCAGTTGCAAGCACAGATTCATGGCACTCTTTTAGGGAATGATGTCTACACAACACATTGTCAAGGGGAGATAAGTGGAAGATTATGAAGGTAGATACAGGGAACTTTGGCAAGCTGCTCTTTTCAAGCCAATCAACAGAAAAAGAAAGCCATAAGCTACAACAAGGATAAGTTGATAAGTATGCAGCAATATTTATCATCTTACATTGTTTATAAACAAAGAACCAGAGCAAAACTAGGGAATTTTGCTATTAACCAATATCAAGTCTATGATTACCATCATCATCAAAATTGATAAGAGGAAATGTAAACTGTGGCTAGTAATTATATTCATAACTGAACTCCGTGATACCAACCATCGCAGAAACCACTTGAGAAACGATGTAAAATCCACCCCCAAGAATCGTCAGAACAAGTATGGCTGAAATGGGGTTCTTCAATAACTCATAAAGTGGCTGAAAAACTGCATATAGAACACCACTACTCACAGTTAAAGCATAAAGCCCATATCTTCTCATATTATCCCAAAAATCTTCCATCAATGGCCCTTCTGGACCAAAAGCTAATGCCTTTTGGTGGTCATCTGAGCCCATAAGCAGCATTATAAACCCCATAGAAACAGCTCCCACGATCACATACCTTGAATTTTCACCATATGGAATTAATTTCTCTAACTTTGTAGAAAAGCCCAAGGGATGAGGTTCTTCATCTCCTGATAATTTCTCTATTGAAGATGACTTGTTGGATTTGGGTGTGATTTTGACTCTTTCTGAGTCAAACAACAAGGGCCTGTTAAAAAGGTTGGTTCTTGAAGGGGATTTAGTGATTTGTGATGTGGGTTTGTGTTTTCTGACTGAAAGGGATGATGATTTTGATTTGGAGGAGATGAGGAATGAAGGATTGTTGGCGATGAGATTTGAGTGAGTAGGGATGTAGAATTGGGATCTCAGAGTGAAACTCTTCATGTTGGTTCTTTTTTTTGTTGTTGTTTGAGCCTCCAAAGCTTCGTGCAGGGGAAGATTGGGAGAGATGGGTGGTGGTGGTGATAATATGATATCCATTTGATTTTGATTGATACTTTGGCCACCGAGCTTTCGTATTTTACTGATGAACCCCAAAAGAATATTTATTTGCCAAACGCCCAACCAGAATTTCTAATGCATGTAAATATGCCTCCAATTTGGAAAAATTACCATTATTACCCTTATATAAAACATAATATAACAAATTAACCCCTTCTCTATCATTCGGTACAACTACAAAATGACCTTCAAATTTCGTGAAAAACGTTGCGAAATGCAAAAGGCCTACCAAATTCTTGAAAACCCATTAAGGGTGCTCAAAAACTCAAACAACTCGATCAATCCAATCCAACGTAAAATAACTTAACTTGATGTCCAATCGAGTTGTAAAATCTTCAAACCGTATCTATTGGGTTGGAATTGAGTTAATATCATTTGAACCAACCTAACCCGATGTCCTTTTATTTATTGGATTTAATCTGATTGTTAAATTCCTATAAATAGGTGCATTAGACAATTACACAATCATGTACCCTCTTCATATACATATATTTTTATTATCTTCTCCATCTCTATTTAACTCTTTTGTATATACAAATTGAGAAAAATAGTTGAATGTGATATACTTAAGATTTAAGAAGTATAGATAAGTTGTACCAAATAATGATGAAAAAGAAATTATGAGGAGAGAAAACATCATATCAAAGTTAGGAGGATATTTTGGGTTGAGTTGCACTTTAATTTGGGTTGGTTGGATTGAGATTTCTTAAACCTCAAACATTGGGTTGGTTGTTTAAATGCCTTCAACCCTATCAACCCAACCCATGAGCACCTCTAAAACCCATTTCGAATTGTTCATTAGCCTACATTTTTTTCATTGTTAATTTGATACGTCAAAGTATCAGCACGACTAACCACATCTGTACAATCTCACAGCCAATATCCAACATTCCCTCCCTTAGACTTATGCTCCATCTAAAGTAAGTTCAATCAAAGGAGCTGTAGACATTCCCATTCCATCCCTCAGCTTTTGCAAAGTCTCCAATTTCAACAGTTTCGTCATCAGATCAACCAATTGATCTTTTGAACCACAAAACACCAACTCTACTTCATTTTACTTAGTAAGATTTCTTAGGAAGTGATACCTGACCTTGAAATGTTTTGAATGACCATGAAGGACTGGATTCTTGGAGAGTTTTATGGTGGAGGCATTAGCTTAACTCCTTCAATTTGATCGAGACCAACTTCATATTGAAGTCTTTTCATCCAGATAGATTGACAAACACATGATGCAGTTGCCACAAACTCAGCTTTATAGTGGATAACGTCACAATGGGTTGTTTGTTTGAAGACTAGACCACAACTCATCCACTCATCACAAACACATAGCTTAAAGTGCTTTCGTTATCCTCCTGCATAGTCGCTGTCAGTGTATCCCACCAGAGCATTTTGCGCTCCTCGCTTATATTCCAAGTTTAGTTGTGCCCTTCAAATATTTGAAAACCCGTTTCACTATAGCATGATGTAACTGAGTTGGCTTAGACATGAAACGACTAATAAGACTTACCACATGTTAAAGCAAAGATTATCACAATGAATTATTAAGAACATACGAATAAGAATACGCATACACGTCTCCATTAGTTAGGCTTGAGTATGAAACGTAGATCCGAAATTACGGCTTTCCTCAACGCAAAATCCTTGATGTTCTTCCAATGGGTAGAGAATGAACGTATAAATTTTGGGGTGTGGGAACCATAACCCTAGTCGTCTTTATATAGAGTTGTAATTAGGGTTCCCATTAAACCCTAATTATAACCTAATAGGCTTCCTCTCATTAAGTCTATACCAAATTGGGTTCTAATGGGCTCTCTTTAATTAATCACATAATTAGCCCATTACTTAAATAGCGTAATATAATTATATAATAACATGTAAGCCCATAGTTATTATTGGATTTATAAATAAATCCCAACAATCTCCCACTTGGGCTACATGTTATTCTTGATCAATTATATTTAAATTTCCTTAGTGCGCAACTTTATGCTATTTATTTAATTAGAAMCCYTTTTAAGGTACAATCTTGTCCATCTTCTATGTTCGTATGAGATCATGGCGGCTTTTGTCACTTCAATAATGTAACTTAACCTTCCATGGTCACCAAACCAACATATCTAATGACATAGATCAAGCATGGATGAGTGGCATGGAAATTACATGCAATGTGATTACAATCATGCCTATTTCCAACTGGTTCAACTTTAGTCCTTATGAGATCAATATATATAATATTCTAAACATAAGACAAAAATTAGAAAATTACATATATTCAGGAATGATCAAATTTTTTTCCATAAACTGAAGTCTGCAGAAAATAAACAAATTGTTGTTAATAACTTAAAACACCAATACAAACTCCCACTAACTTTAGTGTCATCCAAAACAGCACCCATGCTAGCAGTATGCTCATGAAAAACCTTGGGCACCAAGGCTTTGGTTAGTGGATCCGCAAGCATTGAGTTTGTCCCAATGTATTCTATCATAATTTGACCATTCTGGATTCTTTCTTTAACAACCAGAAACTTTATATCTATATGTTTCGACTTTATAGAGCTCCTGTTGTTATTTGAATATAGCACAACCGAATTATTGTCACAGAATAACTTCAGAGGTCTTTCAATGCCCTCAACTATACGCAGCCCCGTGACAAAATTTCGCAACCATATTCCATGATTGGATGCCTCATAACAAGCTATGAATTCTTCTGCCATGGTTGAAGAAGCTACAAGTGTTTGTTTGACACTTTTCCAGGAAATGGCTCCTCCAGCCAGCATAAAAACATAGCTCGATGTAGATCGTCCAGTGTCTTGGCATCCACCAAAATCGGAGTCAGAAAATCCAATAGTCTCTAGTTTGTCTGATTTCCTATATGTGAGCATGTAATCTCTTGTTTTCTTTAAGTACCGCATGACCCGTTTGGCTGCTCTCCAATGATCCATTCCTGGGTTACTTAGGTATTTGCCCAAAACTCCCACTATAAAAGCTATGTCAGGACGAGTACAAACTTGAGCATACACAAGGCTTCCTACAGCCGAGGCATAAGGAATCTTCTGCATTTCCTTTATTTCAAGTTCATTCCTGGGGCATTGTTTGAGACTAAACTTGTCTCCTTTTGCTATGGGCGTATCTCCTGATTTGCTATCCAGCATGCCAAATCWATCAAGGACTTTATCAATATAACTCTTTTGTGATAACCTTAGAATGCCACGAGAACGATCTCGTAGAATTTGAATTCCTAATACAAAWGAGGCATCACCAAGATCCTTCATCTCGAAATTTTTAGTGAGAAATTTCTTGGTGTCATGCWATAAAGCCAAATCGTTAGTGGCAATTAGTATGTCATCAACATACAATATCAGAAAAATAAATTTACTCCCACTGAATTTATGATATACACAATCTTCCACCAAATTTACCTCATAACCATAGGAGGTGATCACTTGATGAAATTTGAGATACCATTGACGGGATGCTTGTTTGAGACCATAGATGGATTTTTTTAATTTGCACACCATAGACTTCGGATCTCCTGACACAAAATTTTCAGGTTGCACCATATAAATTGTCTCATCAATGTTTCCATTGAGAAATGCTGTCTTTACATCCATCTAGTGTAACTCTAAATCCAAATGAGCTACAAGTGCCATAATTGTTCTAAAAGAGTCTTTCGATGAAACCGGAGAGAAAGTCTCTTTATAGTCAATGCCTTCCTTTTGAGTGAATCCTTTTGCGACAAGACGAGCTTTATATCTTTTGATGTTACCTTTTGAATCCTTCTTGGTTTTAAATATCCATTTACAACCAATGGGTTTCACACGTTTTGGTAACTCGACAAGATCCCAAACATCATTGTCTTTCATGGATTTCAGCTCATCTTCCATGGCATTAATCCATTTTTGAGGATTCGAACTAGACAAGGCTTTTGCCAAGTTGATTGGGTCATCTTCCCTTATGCCTATTTCTTCATGTTCTTGAAGAAAAACGATATAATCATCCGGAATCGCACTTCTTTCTCTAGTGGATCTCCTTAACGGCACTTCTTAAGCTTGTTGAGTTTGTTCAACAGGTGGAGGAACTTCAGTGTTGTCTTGTACTATAGGTACACCTACACTAGTATCCTGAACTGGAGTTGTATCTTGAGCAATGATAGGTATAAAAACATGATCATCACTAACAACAGTGTTGGGAATAAAAGCATCTTGAACTGGAGCTTCATCATCCTCAAAGATAACATTCCTTATCTTATCTTCCCCCCAAACTCAACATCCTCAAGAAACCTTGCGTTTCCCGTCTCAAAGAAGGATTTGGTAGTGGGATTGTAAAACTTAAAGCCCCGAGAGC